CAAGGACTCAAAGTGAGCCTGAGTTCCTGGATAGGCCACTTCTCCTGGCTTCGGGGCTAGCCTACAGGCGCCAGCTCAGCCTGCTGCAGTCAGGACTCAGGAAAGCCAGGCAAAAGACCAGAGAGAAAGGCTAGAACCTCAGGACAGGAAGACTCTTGGAGATGTTCAGATTCCGCCCTCTTTATACAGATGGGCAAACTGAGGCCAAGCAACAGGACTTGCCAAAGTATCCCTGCAGAACTCCGCCTGGTGGTCGCACCGCTTGGACATCCCCGTGCGGGTCTGCTCGCCGACCACCCACTCACAGCCAAGTCAGTTTCAAGGGTGCGTGGGGCTCAGTTCCCGTGAGCGGTGGCTATCCCACCCACGCGGTGGTGAGCCTTCTTAGCCTGTGCGGCATGCACGCGCCTGGCGGGCTGGCTCTGCTCCCGCTGAGCGCGGTCGAGCTAGTTCCGCTGCCCAGCGCTCCAGCTCTCTGATTTCTCCCTTCCAACCGGAAGAATGCGGAGAAAATTGGGGGGCTTTTTTAGTCTTTTTTCTTTTTCTTTTTTTAAGAATAGCTTAAAAATCCCTCTAGGACTCCTTATCCTCACTTCCCTGGGGACTGACTAGGGTGGAGAACTGTGGGGCAGGAAAAAGACTGGGTCCCCCCTCACTCCCTAAGTCCCTACTTAACCCTGAGGGGTCGCTGGGGCCGCTTAGGGCACCAGCTAGACGCCCGGGCCCCTGGATTGCGTGTGGAGACCCCGGCTGAGTTTCAGCTCAGGCCGCTGGCTTGTTGACCATAAATCAAGAGGAGCCGCAGGAATAAATCGAGAAACATTGTTTACGGTGCTGTTATTAAGCTCCTTCCCGCTTCTCTCCACCCTCTAATTAAATTCGCCTCTGAATCTCGGGCCAGGAGAAACCTCTAAAAGGACCAGAGCCAGAGGGGCCCATGCAGGCCGCGGCTCCCGCCCCTTGGCCGCCCACCTGCTTTCCCCGGCCCGACTTCCCCTCTGCCAAAGCGACTGGGTCAGACTTCCAGACTTAAAACCAAGTCGTTTATTTCAATTTTGCTTTCACATTATGTTCCGATACAATCAAAACTCCTGGACGAACCTCTTGAATAAAAGTCCTGCGATGAGCGCGATCACAGGTCCCCGGCGCCGGTATATACCGCTAGCGCGGCGGACTCGGGATTCAGAGGAGGCGGAATAAAACAGACGCAGCTTCGGGATCTGTGAGCGGACGGTCCGGAGGCAGAGGCGTGGGAAGCGTGACGAAAGGGCAGAAAGGTTCTGGCTCCTCGAGTTGGAATTATTCCTGATGCACTTGGCCTGCGAAAAGCCTTTTTCGCTTCCAGACCTGCTGTCGGTCCTGGCCTAGCAAGATTTCAGCCAAATTTCTTACGTTTGCGCCAAAGCAGGGAGCACAGAGCGGAACGCAGGGTTGGCCCTAGGCCCGCGCAGGAAGGAGCGAGCGCCGACATCGCGAGGAAGCCCTCCTGCCTTATCCTTTCTCGACTTGCACGCCGCCAAGTCCCCTACACCTCTGAATCTCACCCTTCCGCACCCCGCCCCCAGACCTCGCAACTAGGGGAGATGCGGAGTTTAGAAAGCTGTTTCAGAAAAATAAAAGTTCCACTTGAACTTTATTGGATTAAAGCAAAATTAAATCTTGGCTATTCACAGGTATGTTACAGAGGACGAGGAAGCGTCCGGAAGAACCTCCTGGCGTTTAGTGGAGCCACAGAACACGAGGGCATTGACAAGCATCAGAACATCAAGCAGCCTTAGGTTTCACGATCACTCCAAATGGGACATAGAAATACGGAAATACAGCCAGTTTCCACTGGGAACAGTTCTTCGTGTACAAATGATATATATTTATATATATATATATTTCTTTTTTTTAAACCAGTCACCACTAAGGTGAGTCCTTTCTCTGCTAACAAGCAGCCGAGGATACATACAAAGTACCTTCAGCTAATTAATTCGAGCGGTGTTTTAAGAGCAGTACTTGCCAAATTAAAACTACTTCCCCATCCGAAAAAAAAAATCCTTCCCCCCTCTCCAAAATAAAAAAGGGCGGGGGGAGGGACACATTAGATTTCAGCGGATGAAAAGATTCAGAGCGGGACTCAGAGGAGGAAGATATTTCACATTATACAGTGAAATGCAGTTTCTTTTATATAAATTGTTGGGAACATGAACACGGGGTAAGAAACAGTGACAAGGCAGTCTGTCTTTCTTGATTACTGCAACTGTAGTTGGGGGCGAGTTTAGTTTGGAAATGGGAGTGCGCAGAGCTAAGCGGAATTTACTTCTCCTAAAGAGGAAATGGACTAAGTTGTCCAACCGCCGGGCTGCGCTTCGTTTACCGGATACAGCTGGGGAACAAGTAGGAAGTTTCAAGTCGTGCCGCTTTCTCGTCCTCTAAAGTTCAGCCTCTTTATCATTTTCCCCTCCTGCCTTCGCCCTCTTCCTGCCTCCATTCCCGAGATGAGCCAGTCAGAGGGGAAATACGAGGAATCCGGAGAAGGTCGAATACTTCCAGCCCCCCATCAAGTTTCCCCGCTCCAGCTTGAGGTATGCTCGGTCGCCTTTCTCCATCTGGATTAGAACTCCGTTGCTGGCGGCCTCCCGGGTCACGTCCTGGTCACCAGCGAAGGCTGAAATCACCGGCCACCCATTTAACATGAGGCTCACCTGAGAAAGAAAAAGGCCGGCTTCAGAGGGGCAACCCAGTGGGGTACCCCACTGCGGGGTTCCGAAGCGTAGATGAAATCGCGAACCTTCATCGCTTGGCTGACACGTAAAGCTTCGAAGCAGGGGGCGGGAAGAAAAGGGGCTTTGTAATTTACTGCCCAGGGCCCAATGAGGCGAAAGACGGCCCATCTGGGTGACAGAAAGGGTCTGCTCCCCAAATGGGAGTCACTTTCATTTCTTGGGCCCGCCAATCAAACCCTGACTGCCTTCTTTTATCCAGTTTAATGAACCCGTAGGTGGCTCAGGCGCCCAGAGACCTTCGGCCTTGCCCTCCCCCGCCAGCCTCAGAGAGAAACTCAGACAACTGGCGCTTCCGGGAACACAAACAAATACAAACAAAAGCCCTGGCTCCTCCCGATTCGAGATGCCGGGACACAGCAGAGACGCAGCGGAGGAGCCAGGCGAGGTTTCGGCAGAGGAGAAATCTCTCGCAGGGCTTCACTCCGTGCTTCATCCCCAAACTCCGGGCTCAGTTTCCGTCCCAGATCCAGCCTCGCCCTCCACCGCCTGGCTTTGCCCTTGCGGTGGCATCAGCAGATAAAGGCCCAGCGCCCTCTCCCCAGCCGCGCGTTCCGCCTTCTGTGTCCGCCCAAAGGAAACCCGAAAACCTTTGGGAACCCTGGAGAGTCTGTGAGTGCTGGGTGGGGCAAGGCTGGAGCCAGGAGGGTGTGGCACTACGCCCCTCCCTTCTCTCTCCACCTTTCAACTGATATAGTTAGGCGCTACTTGTTAAGAATTCCGGAGTGGGTCCCCAGAGGGACGCCAGGACTCCCCCGGAGCGTGACGCTGAATGCAAGCGCACAGGATTCTTGCCCGCTGGAGTGCTGGGACAGGAGTCGGGAATACTGTTCGTGGTGCTGAAGGCGAGGATCGCGGAAAGCTTCCTGAAGCGGATACTGTCTGGGATGCTAGCAGAAACTCTTACGGGAAATCCCCGGAGTTCCGTAGCTGGAGGACCTCTTTGGAGGGTCCCACAAGGCGGAGGCAGAAAACTGTGCCTGAAGGTGGTTTCAAGAACCCATGACTGGAAAGCAAGGGAGAGTCCAAGCCATAGAACCGTGAGGCCCTGCTACCCATTCCTCCAAGCTGCCCTGGGCACATGCGGCTACCCCTTCTCTTTCCCACCCCACCCCCCTGGGCCGACTCACTCCCGCGGCCAGTAGCCCCCTACCGGGGCTGGGGCCTGGCCCTGAGGCGGCAGCTGACCTGGATGGTCTGTCTGTTGTAGACTTTTACCACGTGGAAGTTAAAACTGTAGATTCCTTTGCGCGGGGCGATGAAAGTGCTGCGTTCTGAATCAAAGTTGTTCCCGATGTTCACTAGTACCTATAACGAGACGGGAACGAAGGGGAGTGGGCAAGAATCTGGCCCGAATTTTTGTCTCCCCCCCCCACCCCGTTTTCGCTGAGACCTCGGAGAGGGTCGAACATCTACCTACTACCTCTCCTCCAACCCCCACCCATCCAGTCTTCCTGGAGCACTCACCTGGTCGAAGTAGATGATCATGGTGCGATTACTCATCTCGGACGGCTCATGGTTGGTGCTTCTGATGGCAGAGAAAGCCACCTTGGCGCTGCCGGAGCGCACAGAGATGCCCAGAGCTGTGCCCGTGGGATCGGACGTAGGGTTGGAGTCGCAAACCACCAGGCACTTGCCTTCTAGCACGATGGGCTCCGTCTCGTTCTGCCCGCGGGCCGGGCCCGCCAACCATGCTGCCCCCAGCAGCAGCAGCTCCACGACGCCCAGCATCGCGGCGCTGGCACCCACCCCGCCCCCCACCCCGGGGGCTGCCTGCGCCAGCCGCCCCCCCGCCCCAGCCCGGCTCCGAAGCCCCCTCCTCAGATCCGTGCGCAGCTCTGCCGACGCTGCTCTGGACACTTCGGGTCTTCTTGCACTCCTGGGCAAGCGTGCCCCCCGAGCGATGCTCCCGGAGCCCCGCCCGGGCCTCACGGGTACCGTGGCTGCTCAACCGCACTTGGATGCATAGCCGCTGCCGCTCGATCCCCGCTGATTCCGCCGCCTCCTGCCCGCACCGGCTGCTGCTGCCGCCGCCGCCGCTCTGAATTATTGATGCAGCCGGCGATGCAGCCGGAGCCGGCGGAGAGCGCGCGCCGGGCACAAAGGCGCGGACCGCGGCCTGGCCCCGCCCCTACCTTCTCCCTCCCCGCCTCCCTCTCCAGCCCCGCCCCCGCACCGGCAGAAGCTCCACCCCCCGGCCAATCCTGGCGCGCCGCGCTCCCCGCCGAGCCAATGACGGCGCTGTCCGCGCGCGGCCACCTGACCCTGGGCGCCGTTGTTATTAGGCGCGGCGAGGCCGGCGGCGCGCGGCAGCGGGGTTGGGCTCAGGCGGAGAGTCGACGGAGAGAGCGAGGGCCGGGCGCGCGCGCGAGCGCGCGCCCGCGTTTCTGTGCCGTCTGCGGTGGCCGCTCGCTCACTTGTCTCCCGCCTCCCGATACGGTCTTGTTCAGCCCCCTCAGTCCTTCCTCCCGCCTCCCTCGCCGGCCCTCAGGTAGGAGGCGGCGCGCACGCCCAGGTTCCGGAGTAGAGTCGCCAGGGGCCGAGAGACGCGCGAGTGTGGGCGCGTGGGGCGGGAGGGGAGCGCCCCCCAGTGGGCAAAGGGGTAAGGGGCAGCGGGCGCGCGGGTGAGCCTCGGCAAGCGGGCCGACCCGGCGGCCGGGCTGCAGGGCGCGTGCGTGCGTGGCGGGGCGGGGCGTGCGCCAAGGCCGCGGTGCAAGGAGGTGCACGTGCAGCCGCTGGGAGCGGGCGCCGCGGGGCATCGAGGCCAGTGTCCACATCCTAGCCTCGCGGCCAAGAGTATGGCGCTGGGCCGGCAGCTCTAGCCCGCTTCTCGAAGTGCTCGCTCTGCGGGCCGCGGAGTCGGATCGAGCGTGCACGCATTTATTCTTCATTTCATTTATTCGGGATAGATCATTGAACATTTGTGGACGCGAAGTGCCAGGCTTCCAGGCGCTAAGGACATAGTGATGAGAAAAATCGGACGAAGCCTGCTTTCGTGCCTCTTACAGTCTAGTGCAGGAGGCACTGGCAAGTACAGTGGCATCGCAGACAGGTTCATTTCCCTGATACCATTTTTATCTTTTGCACTTAAAATTTTATACTTTGCATCCGCATTTTATTTACTGTGCACCTTTGTGGCATGTTCTATCCACGTGTACTTACATACTATTGCCTTGCATATAGACACCAAATCTTGTGATTTATCAGCGAGTTTTCAAGGGTGATTTTGAAATTTCAAGGCAAATGAATTTTTACCTCACGCGTTAACTTAGAGCTTTACACACACGTAGTCAACACAGTAAAACACAGCTTTGCTAAGTGACAGAGAGAGGGGAGCTGCAGAGGTGGTAAGAGGAAAGGCGTGGAATGCAGGCGGTTAACCTGCCATTAGGTGAAAGCTGGAGGGCGATCAGGCCTCTCCGTCAAGTCCAAAGCAAGAGGCTTCGGACCCGAATGAGAGGCGGGCGGGAATGCTGTCCCCCGGAGCACCTGGAGCTTGGGTCCCCGCCGGGCGCCTTTGAACCCCGGTGCTCCGCCGAGTCAGAGTAGACGTGCGGCAGGCGGCGGCCCGGCGCGAGCCCGGGGATCTGGACAAACCTGGATCGCGGGCTGACAGCACCTCCTTCCGGTCTCCCGGCTCGCGGCCGGCGGGGTCTGCCGCAGCCTAGGGTAGGCTCTCCTCTACGCAGGAAGACTGCTTTAGAATGGCCAACAGCCGCACGTTTCAGCTTTGTGTCTTTGAGACTTAAGATAGCTGTTTAAAGACTCATCTGGAGGTACCCATCTCGGAACCTCGCCTCTGTTGGAATGCCTGCCTGCTGGGGTCACTGGGTTCGCCCAGGAGAAAGAGGAGGGGCGGGGGAAGAGGCAACAATTCTCCTTCAAATTAATTGACAGAAAACTATTTTTTTCAAGTCAAATCTGTTTGAGACATCCCCAGAAAGCGTTGCCAGCTGTGATTACACCTAATGTGAGAGCATGAACTAATTTAGGAGGTGAGATCTGAATAATGACACTGTACCCTGTATAGCCACGGAGCCTGGCAGCCCCAGCAGTGGAGGGTACCTGGAGAAATGCCCGTGTAGAATCAACAGCATTTGCTCAGTGCCCAGGGTCTACACTCTCTGATATTCCACAGATTTTTACTGAAGGCTGTCTGGTGAGGAAGCCCGTTCTCATGGAGCTCACAAACAGGACTGAGATTATCTAGAGGGAGATGGTGGATCTCCAGCCTTCTCCTCTTCTTTCATGGGGGGGGCTCTAGTGGGCAATGCCCAAGCCTGAACTGCCATCCCTATGCCACTGGGGATCTCATATGGCCAGTCTCAGCCTGCCTGCATCCCAGGCCTACCATTCTGAGGGCCTGCCGGATCACTTTAGATATCCTGACCCATACTTTGTCTCCTTTCCTTTGTCACCCAAGCTGTCTCTTATCCTATGCCAGTGACAACAGGTGCCACCTAGGGAGCCCCACATCTAACTTGACTCTACTTTATGTCCTATTTGTTTGCGTCTGTTTGGGCTTCATCATGTCTGGCCTAGGATACTGCAGAAGCTTCCTCATTTATCATTCAGGGAATTAGTATAAGGATCACTCCTGGCTCTTCTATAAACTGTTTATTCTTACAACGATTGAGTTCTCTGAAATATGTAATCCCCGCTTTTCTTCCACCTGAGGAAGATTTCCCTGACCACTATATTTCAGAATGATCACACCCCTGGCATTGCTTGTCCCTCTTCCACATCCTATGTGTTTAAAAATAATGAATTTAATGTTAATGGATATATGCTTTCCTGAATTGTGAGATGAAATGTGATAATGTATAGGAGGAGGAGAAACCTCAAAAGCAGTCCTGTTTATTTTAAATATTGTCACATTGTTACACTCAGGATTCTTTTAGCTGCAAGTGACAAAACCAATTCAGACTGGCTTAAGTATAAAGGACTTCACTCATTTGAAGCCTACAGGTAGGTCTTGCCTGTTAAAGCATTGTTGGATCCATCAGGCAAGGTTATCAGGATCTGTTTTCTGGTTTTGACTTATAGCCCAATAGAACCTCTGCCAACTCAGAGCAAGGAAAGGATAGTGCTGTTTCTTCAGTATTTTCTGCAAAAGTCATAGAGCTGTTCTTACGGGGGTGTCAGTCACTTGCCCCTCCCCGAACATGAAGAATAGACTGTTCCGCTGACTAAGCTTGGATTCAGATGTCTTCCTTCAGAAAGGGGTTTGATGTCAGATCCACCTTATCTGGAGTAGAGGAGTTCTCCAAAGAAAAATTAGAGAAAGGATGCTGGGCAAGCAGGAACAATACATGTCTATTTTAGTCCCTCTCGAAGGGTCAACTGCAATGTCTGTCACCCCAAAAGAATAGTGATGAAAAGCAATGAAGTAGCCAGAACAGTATATATGTGTTTATCTTGGTCCTTTGGGATCCTCAAGATTTCAGCTAAACCTGCAATCAGGTGCTATCAACACTGATGTTACTGAAGGGTTTGCTTTGAAGTCTGCATGCACTTCAGATGGTAGAGCTGTGATAAGTATAAATAATTAACATTCTGTTTTAAAATATTTCTGTGGCAGCATTTTGGGTTTTTTTTCTCCTTTTCATTTCTTAGGCTCCTAAAAAAATGAAAATCTACTTTCTTTGTGTATCAGTTCAGTTCAGTTCTTAGTGTATAGGTATGTAAAATTCCTCATTATTCATTGATTAATGAAAACAAATGAGAATTTGAGCAATGAAAAATGAAAGAATTGAGTGAGGTCATGTCTGAAATTTTAAGACTAGAGGTTTAACTTGTTGAGGCTTTTCAGATGTTGAAATGTTGGTAAAGTATTATAAAATCATCTGTCTGAAGCTTTTAAAGCAATGTGTTAGGGAGATTTAGGGAACATCGAGTTTGCAACTAATGAATTTGTATTGTTGCTGTTAATCCTTTACCTGCTGCCCTAAATGCAGCTTTATGTTTGGTGAAGTCAAGGTTTGTTTCCCCATCTGCACTCTGAATTTCTCACCACAATGCATTTTGATAAATGAATATAACAGCTACCTTGATTTCTCTGCCCCTACCCTGGAGGAAAAAAATAATAATAACAACCCCCTATTGTTGAAAAAGAGCATTTTCAGAAAAGAGGGAATATTTTGTCACAGGATATGAAACAAACTCATCCTTTTATTAACTCAAAATGGGTCCTCTAATGTTTATACACATCAGATAGCATTTCATCTCTTTTAGCCTTGGTTCAAAGGCCCAGGCAGTACCATTTCCTAGCATTTAGTTCATTTGCCCATATAGCAGAAGAGAAAGGCTATTTTGTTCTAAAGGGTGTTAAATTTAGGATTTCAGTGGTCAAGTTCATTTCAAATTAATGTTTCAATCTAGACTACAAAATTTGGGAATGATTCTAAATTAAATTAATTCTAAATTTCAAAGTATGAAATATTTTTAATTTTCACCAAACCCTTGGTCTTCCTGCATATATGTCTTTTGGGGGGTTATAGAGATTCATTTTGGATGCAACATTTTTGCTGTTTAAATTTAAAAATTATGTTACAGAATTAACTTTGTAATTGGACACTTTCATTCAATACAAAGAAATGCAGAATTATTTTTTAATGAAGGCCAAGTTTGTGGTAACACTAATTCTTTAAAAAAGGCAAAACAAAACTCTGATCTTAAAAAATCAAAGAATATATTCAAAATATCTTTAGGTCTTTAGTTAATACCAAATTATGCATTTCCCTAGCCATTGTCATCTGTTAAATTGAAAGATGCCAGCATCATCTCTAAAATGATGCCTTGAGTCTGCTGTGGTTATGCTGGTAGGAATTTTGCATAAAGCTGTTATTCACATATATTACATTAAGGTCAAAGGGGGAAGAAAGAAACATAAAATAATGTAATCCTACAGAACTGCTCTCGAGAGAGAAACCACATAGGTGACATCAAACACTAGTTGTTGGAATTTTTCCAAGAAGTAATTATCTGTGTGCTTTTTGGGTAGTGATTATGGGACAAACGAAGGTTCGGCCAATTCAGCAAACATTTATCGAGTGCATGAAATGTGCAAGACACTGTTTTAGGGCCTTGGCTACTGCAGAGATGAATCATCCATGATCCCTGTCCCCCCCCCACCCCGGACTTCATGTTTGACAGTGGTCAGGGCTGCACCCCAGGGAACCTCCATTTAAGAACTTTTGGTTCTGCTGAGAAGGCTTCTTAGTATGTGTTCTTACCATGTAGCTTTGATTAGTCTCTGTCTTTGTTTACAGTTGCCCTATAACCAGAAGTTACACAGAAATTATGCACATGTACAAAATTAATAGATTAGAGAACATTCAAACTAAATCAAGTTTTACTTCAAGTGCATTTGACATTTATCAAATAAATGATGAATGCTATCATCTGTGGGCGGCTGGATTGACTTTTGGGAAAAGTTATCACCAACTTTAATAGGGATCTTAGGGAAATTTCCCAGATCTTGACAGTTGTATAAAGATTTCCTACAGTTCAGAAGGCTCTCAGGATAGAAACAAAGTCTGCCAACTGGAGGGCTTGTTGAACCAAATACCTCTGTGTTACTAGGAGGTAAACGAAAGGAAGGATTTAAATAAAACTTGAAGAGGGGGAGGAATGCAGAAGAACAAGAGGGTTTTGTATTTTTTTAAAACATTATTTTCCCAAAATGGTATTTCCTGGTAGACTTCTGAGAAATGAGATCAGAGGCTCACACTTCATCCTGCCATCCGGAATCACACCCCAGGGACAGTGACGTAATTGAGTTTTCTAGTGGTTTTGCCACCCCACCCCCGGCCTCCAGCCC